GTGATGATTGAGTCTATTCAAACGAGAGGCTGGATGCAAATAAAGTCACAGATAATTTTTCTGCGCGAAAATCTGAGATGATTTACACACCCACTGCGTAAACAGCGAGCGCCTGGCTCTAATGCATCCGCTTGTCATCACATCATTGTCGCTCCAAATAATCGGAGAATACTTGTCTACCCCTCTCCGACCTTTTCAGCCACCAGAGGGCTGGGCAGTTGCTGATGAGCATCCCTGTCGGCGAGAAGTTTGATGAAACTCGAACCACGCCTGCTTTACTGCAATGAAACTGCAAGAAGGCTGCTGCAGCTTGGTCGTAAAATGGGTGAATGTTGTGCATGTTATAGTGTTCTGTAACGTCAGGGCTGCTTAGAATGTCCGAAAATACCTTTTACAGCTTGATTCTGCGAGCTTGGGCTCTCACCTACGACTCATTAACGCTCTTTTTGCGACGTTCATAGCTGGATTTGTGATTTAGCGTTTCTTTTTGTTGTGTGCCGTTAACTTCAGAAGTGTAACCTACATAGGAGCTGAAGACTGGGGATCGTATGGTAAGCTTGAAAGAAAGCTTGAAATGAGCAGCCTATTGATGCATAATTCATCTTTCTGACACTCCTTGCAAAGGCATCAGCCTACCAGGAAAGGACAATATCTGCACTCATGTGGGCAGCGTTCACGCTGATCAGTGCCTTAGTAACTTTAAAACTAGTGCATGCTCTGTGGTGACCGGGTGGACACCACGGACAGGATTCTGTCCATCATTACGTAGCTCACTTTGGAGGCTGTTTAAGTCCCGCTGGGTAGCCACCCTCCGTTTTGGAGGGTGTACGAGCCCTGTGCGCAGCTACACTCCATTTTGACGGGTCTGCTACCTCACTGCGTAGCTAGCCTCCGTTTTTGTGGGTGTACACGTGCAACGTTTTATTTTTTTCTTCCAAGAGGTCCAAGAGTTCCAAGTGGCAGCCTACCGAGTAATTATGAAAATGATGATACAGATACCACCAGGAGCCGTGGTACGATGCTCTAACGCATTTTCGCACACCTTCACCAAAGTTCTGGCCTTCGCTATGATCTTATAGATTAAATGGTAGGCCATAATGGTGGTGATGAGTAACAATTAACATATCAACCACTAGTGGCATGAATTTGGGCCACATCGTGGTGGCCCGCATTTGAATGCAGATATAAATGTTTATAAAGTGCGAAGTTGTCTTGACGGAGTTTTTATCTTGTCAGTGCACCATGTCGGATAGGGAAGCGAACACTAACTTCTCTGTCGTGATGGCTTGAGAAAGTACATCACATCCAGCACGCCAAAAGTACGTTGTCTGCACAACTCTTTGCCTTTCAAGAACAGGGGGAAAATACCATAGAAACATGAAATATCTGCGTCTGTGGTCTGTTCTTCGGTACCTCAATTAAGGGACTTATTTTACACCAGCTTATTTACTAGGAATGTGCCAATTTTTGGTTTTAAGCTGATCTGATTGTCTGTGAATGGAGTATATCGATGCATTCAACCTCTCAATTCAACCGCAAGTCGAGTGCGGGCCGCTCGCCTGTGAAAGCAGAGGTGCGAGGTTCATTCCCCCGCGGTGCCCACTCTTCCCGACGGGGTGAGAGGCAGCCAGCGCCACATAATCTCAGCAGCTGATTGTGTCGCAAAGTCGTAATGACAGCATCGACATCTATGGTCGGTTAGCAATGATGTTTCGGCCCATTGTGGCGACAGCCAGCCAAACGTTTGGCCAAGAGGATCGAACCCACGAAGGATAGAACCCACGACTTCTCTCACACGGTCGGGGCACTCAGTCATGATGCAGTGGTTTTGAATGAAATGAAAATTCCTGCCACATCTCGCCTGATCATTTCTGTCCAATCTGCGTGTACTAAGCGTGCCAAGTGTTGGGGATGCACTGGCTCCAATGGAGGTGCCTATTTTCGGGTTGGATATACATCTGCAGCTGCATCACCAAAGCACGCGCAGTCCCGCACGTGGTCCCAGTTGCAGTACAACTTAGCCGAGCTAGGCGAGCTGGGGGCAGGGGGGGGGGAGGAGGAGGACAGCGGTGCCGCTGCGCTGACGCGCCCAGCTTCCGGCCGTGGCGGCGCCGGCCGGGCGCAGAGGGGTACCGCGGGCCGAGGTGCGAGCGGCGCCCGCCCGGCCGCCCGGCCGCCCGACCGGCACGGACAGTCGGTAATTTATTCGACCGATAAGCCCGACCAGCAGCCGTTTAATGGACAAACCATGTCCAGGCCGGATAAAACAAAGAGGACGCATCATTTGGGAGGCATCCCGGCGTGCGAGGATGCCGAAAAATGGCAGCCGGAGCGCGGGCGGCGCCAGGGCGGGAAGACGGGAGGGCCGGACCGGAGCAGGGCAGCCGAGCGAGCAAACTGCCACCGGAGGTGAGCGCTACAAGCGGGGCGACGTCCGCAGCAGTGACAACAGTCAGCCGTAATGCAACGCTGGTGAAAATAATGTTTTAGACTATTTTGTATCAATAACACGAGTGGTGATTGATTGACGTGTATTTCGACAATCACGAATAAATTCCGGGTCGTCATTACCTGTCGCCGACAGACACGCGGACGGCTAAAAGGTCGTGAGAAAAAAGGCAGTCATTCAAAAACCAACGCACTGAATCACACACACACACAGACACACACACACACACACACACACACACACACACACACACACACACACACACACCACACACACACACACACACACACACACACACACACACACACACACATGCACGCACGCACGCACGCACGCACGCACGCACGCACGCACGCACGCACGCACACACACACACAGTATAAACTGATCACCGTCCTGTCTCATGAGTCGATGGTCGAATGGCACGGTGTGGCCCATGGTAACCATGCATTGTCATCGAAGGCCAAAACAACTCCGCTGAGATTCATCACACTTAGATATCGAGCAGACACTGCCCTCTAGTCCATTCCCACCCGAAGAAGTCAAAAACATACAATAAAAGTCATTGTTTTCTCCTACACGTGCATCACAGCGTGGAACGGATGTATAGCAGCGCAACGCAAGTGAACCCAATAATAATAAACCACACCACCAGGATTGTTAAATGTTCCTGTCGATCTGATGACAACAAAACTTAACGCAACACAAAACTGAAACACAAGACAAAACTGAAGATACTTGAAATGGCTCACCTTAGACTGGCGTATTATGGAAGGAAATAGCGCGATGGTGTATTGCTTAGTGCTTTCAATCAATATTAAAAATTGTATCGTATTACAGATATTTCTTAGTGCATAGTTTTCACGCACCTGCCTCGCTCCGTGAACGATCCAGAAGGAGGAGAAACATCCGAGACACGCCAGTCGCAGGATAGACCACTCCAGCTGCCAGGCATTGCAACGGGGCATTGCACATTTTTTGTATTTTGTTAGCGGACTAGCAAATTTGTTTCCTATTGTAGAATTTGCGTTCACTGACACCTTCAATAAAACCTCAGTAGAAGAAAGAGGCACGCCAACGGTTTGTGTGCAGGGGCAGAATGCAGAGTGGATTGGCGAAATGCTGCAGCTAAGTGACGAAAGACACCTCATTGTTGCACCATCTGTCTTGTCTTGCACGCCGTACGTATTCCAATATGGGTTGTGCACCAACACATGACCCGAAAGCCGCACCATGCGGAGGCCGTAAGCAATGCATGAATGATTGAATGCATGACTGTCACAACCAATATCCAAACTGTCAGGGAGCCAAGCTTACGTTTGATCGTGGACTCGCCAGTAAATCTCCGATAAGACACCACTATGAGTGCACGTTCCTCGGTGCACTTCACCTTTCGAACGCATAGAGCAAGCTGTCTTTTTCCCCAGCCGTAACGCGAGGACAGCTATTCATAAAGCGTCCGTTGGGCTCGGCTGACGACATGGGCACCCCCGGGCGATCGTGGCGGCATCGGCTTGTTGTCCGTTTAAGGGCAATCCAATCAGCTGCGGTACTGACGTCGGGATCGCAATAAGATGCAGAAGTTGACGCAAGTAGATCTCGGCTGGGTGTATGAATGATTTATTAGATCGCAACTGATCTCGGCTGCCGCCACCGGCGCGTCCAGGAGCTTGGACGGGAGAGGGTCACTCTTGCAGAGGTTGGGGAGGGGGTACTGGTGCCAAGGGGTGCGATAGACATGGAGGACGTAGTTATGATTTAATTCAGTCCGGGGTGCTGATTATCCAGGTCAATGGGAGGATGGGTTAGTTGACCTGTGTTGACCACCAGAACGTATTACAATGCGTCCTGTTCTCAACACAGATGCGTCACAAGTTTTGATGGCAACGATGCGCTATAAACTAGGACACTATAAAACGTCAGCACACCTACGACGCTCGTCCACTTAAACTAGCCTCTTTTTTCGTTTTTCTTTTTTGTTTGTTCGAGGTCACAAAGCCAATTATACCACCTTTCTGTTTCGGCGGATGCGAAGAGGCGCCTGATTATCATGCGGTCGGTGTTCCCAACTACCATCCCCGTTTAGTTTATGGCGAGCTGGATTCTGAAGGTCTAAGCTGACTTCAGTAAAAAAAAGTCATGTTTGCACAATGGTTAGCACAAAGATGACGCGAAGAAAACCAGTTCAATTACGGCGCAGCAGAAAATCAGCAAAGGTCAGCAGCTCCAGCCTGCCGGGGGAGGTCAGCCACTCCAGCCGGTCGGGACTGAGGTCCGCAGCTCCAGCCAGTCGGGACTGAGGTCAGCAGCTCCAGCCAGTCGGGACTGAGGTCACCCACTCCAGCCAGTCGGGACTGAGATCAGCAGCTCCAGCCAGTCGGGACTGAGATCAGCCCCTCCAACCTGCTGGGACAGGGCCTGTCCCTCCCCCGAGACTGGACCCGAGCGTACTGCGGGCAGCACCCCTGACCAGCCAAACCACGTGCAGTCCAGCCAGACTCTGGCTGTCGATCCGTGAACCAATCAAACCCGCGCTGGCAAACTGCGCTGGTAGAGGCGTTTCTATGCACGTTTTATTGGCATATTTGTTCTCAAATAGGCGCTGGACGCGGCACCGTTTTTTATAACATATGAAGAGCTCATCCACGATCACAGTCGCACGGCGCCAAACGATGTCAACAGACAACAGCAAAGTTTGGGTTGAATCACCTGCATCACAACCAGGCACGACACAAGCCGAAAAAAACAAGTCAGACCGCGGCTAAGTTTAAAACAGGACCGCTCCGGCGCGATCGAACAAAATAAATCAGACTGATCCACCAATCATGACACGTATGTCATCTGTGACGTCATAGGCGGGCGTTCAGTGCCGTCATTGGCAGGCGTTCAGTGACGCCATCGGCTGACGTCCAAACGTCATCAGCAGGCGTCCAGACGTCATCGGTAGGCGTCCAGACGTCATCGGCAGGCGTCCGGACGCCATCGTTAGGCGTCCGGACATCATCGGTAGGCGTCCAGACGTCATCGGTAGGCGTCCAGACGTCATCGGTAGGCGTCCAGACGTCATCGGTAGGCGTCCGGACATCATCGGTAGGCGTCCAGACGTCATCGGTAGGCGTCCAGACGTCATCGGCAGGCGTCCAGACGCCATCGGCGGGCGTCCAGTAACGTCATCGGCGGGCGTCCAGTGACGTCATTGGCGCACGCCGCCGGCGCCGCCGCATTCGCGTATGCATGGCACCGGGGCTGGAGCAGGCCCCTTCCCAGCTGTCAGCGTCCTTACCGGCCGGCAGCGGCCCCAGCCGCAGCAGGGCAGCAGCTCAGCCCAGTGCGGCAGACGGGAGCGGCGCAGGGCGACCGACACGCCGCGGCACTTCTCGGTCGGGTAGAACCGGTAGAGCCGCTCCCGTTCCCGGTCGGGTAGAGCCGGCGGGGACAAGCAGTGTGATGTCCAGCGCTCACTTCTCGGTCAGGTAGAACCGGTAGAGCCGCTCCCGTTCCCGGCCGGGTAGAGCCGGCGGGGACGAGCAGTGTGAAGTTCGGCGCTCACTTCTCGGTCAGGTAGAATCGGTAGAGCCGCTCCCGTTCCCGGTCGGGTAGAGCCGGCGGGGACGAGCAGTGTGACGTCCGGCGCTCACTTCTCGGTCAGGTAGAACCGGTAGAGCCGCTCCCGCTCCCGGTCGTCAAACGTCGGCACGCACGCGAGCCTGGTCACCTCCGAGAAGCCCTCGTCCTCGGTGGGCTCCTCGTATCGGGACCTGCGACATCCGAACGAGCGTGGACAATCGTGTCTGGGTGACACGCGTCCCGACCTCTTCTTCACTTACGCAGGATGTTGTTCGGCCGCGCTTCTGAATGCCGCCCAGAGCTACTAAGTATAACATTTGGCCGGTCCAAGAGCCAGTCAGACCATCATCATAAGATCATCAGAAGCAATCATACAATACAATGATCATATAGCGTCATACATAGCGGGTTCATGAGGGAAATTTAGTTCAGCGACCTCTCCTAGCCTATACGAAGTCCAAATCGGAGGTCTCTTGATGCATTGTTTCGTGCTCCGCGTCCAGGTAAGTGCTGTGCTCGCTTGATCAGTTGTGCGAGTCAAGACCATGATGTCTGAACCATGTATGCGTGTAACCTAGCGACGTTTGTTAAATATAGCCTTGCTTTCTCATTGTGTATGTAATATCCTGATGACGGCCAATTGCAAGCCGACCATTCCAGCTGCAAAAAGACGCATCAGTGTCCCCATATCGCCGTCGCTTTTCTGTCGTTCTCGGGTTCCCGATCTTTTTGCGCCTAGTCTGCTCGTGGACTTCTATCTAAGCAGGCCGCACGGTGAGGGCCTACACATCTGATAGTCGTTTTTGACATCAAGGCGTTCATCAAGGCGTAATGCACATGCAGAGCCTTACTTGAACATGTTGAAGACCATTTCGGTGACGTGCTGGTGACTGGGATCAGTCAGTTCGCGAAACTGAAACGGTCCGACGCCAAGCTACGGTCAGGCCAGTACACAGGTCAGGTCAGGCCTGAATGCAGGTCAGGTCAGGCCTGAATGCAGGTCAGGTCAGGCCTGTATGCAGGTCAGGTCAGGCTGGTACACAGGCTAGGTCAGGCCAGTACACAGGTCAGGTCAGGCCAGGACACAGAAGAGGTCAGGCCGGTACACAGGTCAGGCCAGAACACAGGTCAGGTCAGGCTGGTACACAAGTCAGGTCAGGCCAGTACAAAGGTCAGGTCAGGCCGGTACACAAGTCGGGTCAGGGCGCTATTTCGGGCGAGAGACGAGAACACACTTAACCTCGCAAGAGCCCAGCACGTTCACAAATCCCGGGCCACGTACAAACCGGCTGTGACGACTCCCGGCATGGAGGCCAGAGCTACGACACCAAGCCGTCCACACAACACGCGCTTTGCAAACTCATGTCGCGTGCCGCCGTTAGATAACATCGCGCTGCGAGTGGGCGGCCCGACGTCACTACCTTGTTGTTGTGCTTGGCCTGGGCCAGCGAGGTGGCCATCAGCAGGCATCGGACCGGTACGCCCAGGCGCCGGCCCAGCGCCACGTACCGCTGCCGACTCTCCCGGTCGCCGTTCGTGTTGTCGACGGCAGCGCTCTTGCCCTCCTGCCGGCCGACCGACAGACAGACACGGTCAGCGGGACTCTCCGGGCTCGGCCCCCGTCACGGGTGACACACAGACAGACACGGTCACCGGGACTCTCTGGGCTCGGCCTCCGAGGCGGGTGACAGACAGACAGACACGGTCAGCGAGGCTCCACGGGCTCGGCCTCTGACACGGGTGACAGACAGACAGACAGACAGACACGGTCACCAGGACTCTACGGGCTCGGCCTCCGACACGGGCGACCGACAGACAGACACGATCACCGGGACTCTCCAGGCTCTGCCTCCGACACGGGCGACCGACAGGCAGACACGATCAGCGATACTCTACGAGCTCGGCCTCCGATGCGGGCGACCGGCTCGGCGCTGAGAGGCTCGTCGCCCCCATAAGCTACAGCACCTGCCAACCGTTTGGTCTTGGAGCCTTCGGGCCAATCATGGCAAGGCCTCTGTAGAAAGCATGTCCGTCACGTCCGAGCTGAATGAACAGGAGCGTCTGAGGAATCAAAACATTCATGTGTAAACCTCAGGCCAGCTGGTCCCAAAAGATGAAACGACTAGCACCAAACCTCCAAACCAGGGCTGCACATACCGGCTGGAACACCACCGTGCGTACGACCCCGACAGGGGCGGTCGGTTGTAGCCCCCCAGCAGCGTGGAGCCCCTCTGGCTGAGACACCAGCGCGAGCGCCGAGCCGGGGCGCCCACCCGAGCATCTCTCTGTCCCTACCTTGACAGCCTGCTCCACCACTTGGACGCACTTCTGCCAGGACTTGAGCGTGTCTCTGTTGGCCGGCACGTAGCCAGCCGGCACCAGCTGACGCCGGGTCACGTGACTCTTGCCAGAACCGGGCGGCCCCACCAGCACGACCACCTGCCGGTCACGTGACCTGAGGCGAACCGCCGGCACTGGCGGGTGCCACAGCAGCGCCGCGGTGCGCCCAGAGGTCGGCCGCGAGGGGCCGGTGCGCGAGCCGATGGCAGACGGGGCTGACCTGGGCATTATCGACCCAGCGGGCTGGGAGGGCCAAATGGTAACAGGAGCAGGTCCTGGCTAACTGGACCCACCGTCGCGCACAGGACAGCAGAGCCGCGCACGGACCGACGGACAGCGCTCGACACTCCGTTCGGGATCCTGACGCGGCACACCCGGTGACGCCGCACCGCGTCACCCTCAGACAGCGTGACGTCACACCGGCGACGTCACAACGCGCCGGGCGATGTGGCGTCACGCCACGCAGACTGCAGCTGCCACTTCACACACCGCTGTCCACTCATCGCCAACCAATGCTCGAAGCTCGGGCCAAGCGATGACAGAGGAGGCGAAGCGGCCGGCGGTGGCTGGCCCCCGGTTCTGTCCTCAACAGCAGCGCCTCACCTCTTGTTCCGCCCTGGCAGCGGTCTCTGGAGCCATCCGCTTTCCTTCGTCGACGGCGGCTCGCGGGTCGAACGCAGGCAGCTGGTATTTGGGCGTGGCCGGACGTCCTGCGCAGCCGCCACACGCATCATGGGCGGCACGGGCAGTCAACCACGCACCAATCTCCCGGGCACATAGCACTGCGATGCTGTTGACGTGATGTGGGAAAATCCTGCACAGTGCATGCAGATGACGAACACTTCAAAAATTGCACTTCTTGTTACTGAAAACTGCATAAGCCTGCAAGCAGCGGTGGCAGATACTAGCGTATTGTCGGCATGACGACCGAGGCGTGACACCCGGTTCGGGTCTGGTCTGGTCTGGTCTGGTCTGGTCGGGTCGGATCGGGTCGTTCCGTTGGTCCGATTCGGTTCGGTTCGGCTCGGCTCGGTTCGGTTCGGTTCGGTTCGGTTCGGTTCGGTTCGGTTCAGGGTCGGGGTCGGGGTCGGGGTCGGGGTCGGGGTCGGGGTCGGGGTCGGGGTCGGGGTCGGGGTCGGGGTCGGGGTGGGGTCGGGGTCGGGGTCGGGGTCGGGGTCGGGGTCGGGGTCGGGGTCGGGGTCGGGGTCGGGGTCGGGGTCGGGGTCGGCGTCACGGTCGTGGTCAGACCGGATCGGGCCGGGTCGGAACGAGTCGGAACATATTATGTTTAATGCATTTTACATACCAATTTTTTCATTGAAGCAGACAATTTTCGTACAGTACGATGCAACACACGCTACCCACGCCTCCAGCTCACCCAGAAACAGCTCCTCGGGCGTGCAGAAGCGGAGGCCGATGTTCAGCGCAAACAGCCGATCAGAGCAGGAGAAGTCCTTCTTCCTCTTGGGTTGCCAGCCCTCCAGACGGCCAGCAGCGTCTCCGCAATAGAAGCTCTCCGACATGTCGACCTTGCACGAGCCGTTACCCTGCGACGCAGCACTGTGGTAAATCGCTGGTATCGCTGTGGTGAAAAGGGGCGTTAAAGAACACACTTCGTCTTGGTGCAAGCTCACTCGACCTTTACATAAGATTTTTACAATTTAGCGGACAAAACATGGTGAGCCTGAATGGAGCATCACCTTAGGCATCCGGTGGGGACGGGGAATGCCCGGGTCAGAGTGACCGCATAGCAGGACAGAAGGCAACACACCACGTTAGTAGATGAACGACAGCTGGACAGGGCTGTACCACGCAAGGGTGGTGACACGGGAGGAGCACGAGAGGTGCCCTTACGAGGGCGACTGCATGACACAATATTGAGAAATGCACCACGTGAAAGGCCAACGACAGACATATGTATGTTATGCAGCCGTGCTTTAGCCGCAATGAAACGCGAGTGGTGACCGAGAGTAACGACAACAGCAGCGACAGCGGTTGTTGCTGGAGGCGGACCTTTGTGGTCAGGTACTCCCACATGCCGGGCCGGGGTTTGCGGAACCAGCGGTCGCCAGGCGAGATGAGACACTGGACGGGCACGCCCAGCCGGGCCGTGATGTTGCGCAGCTTCACGCGCAGGTCCTCCGGCTGCAGCTTGTTCTTGCTGATGCCCATCTGTAACACCACAGCTCTTCACAACGTTAATGAAATTTGATAAGGCGCACAGAATGACGCGGAGGCAGACGGGACAGATGTTATTATCTGAGGTTAGCACACAACAGACAGCACACCGATGTAGAACACAGAAGTTTCTACGCCACAGGTGGCCGGTAAAATCTGAATCGCTGACTAGACAAAGTGGTTGGCCTGTGTCATTAGAACCTGAAGGAGCCCACACAAATGATAGGAGGACTGGCAAGTGAAATAATGGAGATGAACTTGCAGTGTACGTTACCTGATTCGTGATAAACACGATCTTGAAGCCACGATGGACGAGTTCCTTAAGCTTTCCTGGAACCTCCGAGCACAGAATTTGCCAGTCGTCTCGATCTTTCGCGAAAGTTCTTCCAGACTTTGTAGTGATAATAGTACCATCGATATCGAATGCGGCGATCTAGAAAATAAAAACCGAGCATGTACAGGCCGCAATGAAAATGGATGGACAGAAGTGGCACAGTGTCTATGTGCCCAGTTTGGGCAGCGACATGCATAAGAACCTAGTGTGAGTCCGACGAATAGATGCTAAGCATGGTGTAGTACCAAGTTTACACCACATTACTATGGCGAGACTTACTCTGGCAGCCGGCTTCACTCCTTTAGTGATAAATAAGAGAATTCCATCGTTTTCCGCCGACGTCCACTCCTCCTCCTTGGTCTCCATCATGTTAGGTTCAAAGGACTCCTCTGCTGTAGCCTCGGAGCGCGGCCGCTTTAGAGAGGACCCGTCCTTCTCTCCGGAGGTCCCATCTTCACACTCCTTGCGCTTGCCAGCCTCCGACTGGCCTCGGCCTGGCGTCGGGCTGAACTGCACGACAAACTCGTGTCGGCCGCTCAGCAGCTGCAGACTGTCACCATGTCGGAGGGTGGCTGTCTGGCCGGCAGTCAGCTCCAGCCCACCGGCAGCTGACGGGTTGGCACCGAGCACCCGCAGTGCGATGGAGCCGACATCCAGGTCCACATCACATTCGACTGCAGGCAAAGGTGGAAGTGTCAGCAGCTCGCAGGCTTGCTGGTGCAGGCACTTCACATGTAATAAAATGCTAAGGTATAAGTGTAAAATAAGCAATTCTCTATAAAATAACAGTATGCACATATTTCTGCACGCCATCATGCTAGTGCTTTCCATCACTAACTTTTGGTCATCCATTAATGACACAACCTTGGTGGGGCTCTAAATGAGATCATTCTACCAGAAAGATAGCCACTAATCCCAAAACAATATTATTTGGGGTTGGGCAGAGGAAGTAATCATAACAAAATGCACCATATCAGCAATGCATCATTATGCACATGAAAAACAAAGCTGTCATATCTCAAGGCACATCTTAATGATACCTCAGTTATTTGTTGTTCTGGAACAATGCAAGGTAGCATGCAAATATCTTACTTGCCTTGCTTCTTAGAGCATCGAGTATCTTGAATTTTTGTTTCTCGTGACCTTCCCACAAACTGCTTCCCTGCACACAGCTTCACACTTTGACCACTGTCTACATTTTTCAGGATGCAACTGGTAAATGCCATTTCTGATGGTTCTGTAACTACCACATGATGACCATCAGAACCTGTGACCAAATAATTGCAGACAGATGTGTTTATGAGACTACAGTACAGTTAAATAAAATATATAATTCTACAAGCACTCATTCAATTTAAATTCTCCTTATTAAACCTCAAAACACCATCAAAAATCAGAGAACAGGGATGAACCATCTCACATTCAAAAATAGTCAGTCATGCCTAGTGATCACCTGAAGACTGCTCAGGTTAGGTTAAGACACTGAATTTACCTACATGTTTGATTTCCCAGTGATGTCGCAAATTATTTGGAAGACGTAAGGTGCATTTGTAGCATTCCACGAATGTTGTATAATACGTATCGTCCGTATACCTGCGCTGGACGTGTTCACCGTATGCGCTTTCTGTCAACATCTCGGTACCTGTTGTGAAGATAACTCTGCGCACACCAACACAAAGGTTTTCGCTTGGAGGTACTATGCGTACCGTGCGTACCCTTAACGACGCAAACTGCGAAGCATGCTGTTTGTAAAGTGTGAAACACCTTTTTATCATATCATTCGTGGTCGTTCCGCCTTCCGGTACGCAAACCGACTTCTTAAAACTGAATCTGATGCGCTATTTCTGTCTCACTTAGATCAGCTCATATGCAAGATTCAGCACGTGCGAGAAAGATACTCTGTGACGTCACGTAAAATTTTTGTCGTCCAGTCCACTTAAGCACCAAAACGTGCAAAATCTAAGGCATCATGGATGACGTCAACGGAATATGTTCTTTTTCTTCCTGGTTGATGCAAGCACATCAGTAACTTTAAATGGATTGCTCTAACTTCCATATTTAAAGATGTTGGGGCATGCATCAGAAGTGACCGAAAAGGCTCACTTAAAACTATTGGTCTATTTAAGTGCAAAAGACTGCTCTAAACATTATAATTTCACTGCTTGCTGAATATCTTGCTCAGTATGGCACCGTTTGATTGCGTAATGGAACGTTCAGATGGCGTCAGAGTTGCTGTCAAATTGCCCGTGTGGAATTGCCACCGTAGCGAACAGGCAGACTTAGTTGTATTGCCTCAACTTGCCTATAGATAGTAAGGCCCTGCATGTACGCAGAACTGGGATGCCGCTACGTGCGCGAGTTGTGACCCTTGCTTGCATATTTCCTCTTGCATGTTGGTCCGAGGCTTCATACTTTTGTTCCTTACATTCACATGGTCGATTCCAGTGTTATTCGATTTCCAGTCTTATTTCCGTCATAACTAGAACCGATGCCCGGTTGCACAGCCAGAGCCTTGGCAAAGGGGGTACGGTTAACAAAGGACTTCCTGATAGTGAAAGCCCCCGTCAGGAAAAGAAAATCGCCGGATAGGACGCACTTGTTATTGAGGGTTCGTTTTCCTTTGCTATTCTCTTATTTCCACCTTCTATAACTGGGATAAAATCCGGAAGCTAACGTGAGATCCATTCCGCCGGAAATTCAGTCAATAAACTGAACGAATCATACGTTGAACAGCTGCATGCATTAAATCGCCGGCGCTCTTCATTTCACAATGGTGTAGTGCACTTTTCCCAGGCCGAGGCAACTTCGAAGCTGTGTCATAATTTCTGTCTGGGCTCTACAGATATATTAAGGATTTCACGAATGTAGGTTGCAGGTCAAAATAGATCATCAATTTGTATTAACATGGCCAAGCCATCTTTGTCTGGGACTAATCAACATTCAGTAAGAATCGATTTGGGATATAAATGTGGTAACATAGTTTTGAGCAGATGCGCTCGCAAGTCTAAGAAGAACAAAAAACTAGACGCCAGACGTTGCAGTCCCCTTGAGCCGCGCAACATCGGACCCACAGCTCACACTGAGCCTCGGCCACCGAGTGGGCAAAACTAATGACTCAGGTGAAAGAAGGACCTTTGAATGCTGGACATCAGATTGTATATTCAGAAGCCAGCCTGAAAGTATATTTCACCTGTGGGATTTTTAGATTCATGATAAAAACGGATCAGTCTTTACAGGACCGCGAAGTGGTGCTGGAATCTGGTGGTGGGACTGAAAGGGTAAAGGTTGAATCTCTTCTTCATGTGTCTGCAACTGTTATTCCGTCTCTGTCTCTGTCTGGATCTGACATGTAACTGTTAATCTGTCTGAGTTATCAGAGGACAGCCTCAAATTCGTAAAAAGTCACCCAGTCTAGCCTTTGAATGGTACGAATAGCGGCACAGCACGACAGAGAGCCAACTGTTCGGTGTTGGCGGTCTCAAGTCAACTCAGACACCATGTTGTCTCAGGGGTTCCTCAAACGGTACATAAGGCCCTCCGACTGATATTTTAGGTCATGACCCTACCGAACGCGATTTTTCATGTGCCTTTCAGCCAACCCTTCGGGCCCTTATGCCCTCCAACTGGGCCCTTGATCGCCGGTTCCGGTGAGCCGCCCGAGCCCCTCTTCGGACCTCATCGAACACTGCCCTTGGTCGGCTCAGGTCAGCTGGCGAATACAGTACCCCCATTACACACGGTGGGCCACTGACAGATACGAAGGCCCCGACTACTGTAAATCACTGGCCCGTCTTTGTAGCTGCTTGAGAAGTAACATAAAAATCCTAATATAAATATGTATGATACAGGATATATGATATAATATACATGCTATAATCAATATAATATAAAATAAAAAAAAACATGAAAAAGAAGAGATGACTGCCCTCTCAGGACAATTCAGGTCCTCAGTGGTGTATGGTATTGTAGTGTGGAAATGGACGAATCCATTGGCGACATGTCACATTTGCATCCATGAGCGTCACTCGTTGATACGTACATTTCATTGTGATGTACTCATCGGCACATTTGTGCATGTCGTAGCAGTGGATATATGTCAAACTGTGCATTGTGGATAAGGCTGGAACTGAGTAATTTAGAAGCATTGTAGCATTGGTAAGATAGACAGAAAGCAATACAGGTGTGAACAACATGAAAGGGTTGGAATTTCCGGCTTGTAAAAGAAGGCGCGTTGATAACGGACCGACAGCGGAGCAGAAGGCCATCGTTTGAGCTTTACAGGGGCTTTTTGCACGCCGCATGATCAAAAACGGGGTCGTTTAATGCTGCGTGTTATTACGGAACCAGTCAAGTATGCATTCCAGTGTCACCGGTCCGCACTGCATAGTTTTGAAAGTGCACCAAAGACGTTCGGTGGCCATGCACGCAGCAAGTGTTGAGTTAACGCGTTTGCTTTTGCCGCCGCGGACTCGGCGGCGGAGATACGACTTCGGCCTCATGAACCGCTGGAGGCACGCGCGTAAATCATTGTGCACAGAGACAGGACGTTCGCACATATAAGCTGAGGGATACATCTCCAAATATATGGCCAAATATATACGTTCACCAAATATATGGCATGTACCACTAGGTACTTAACTAACTACTGACAGTCAACCATTTCAGGTGGAAACGTAAAAATTAGATCGAGAACGTGCAATGCTATTTCACAGCACTTAAAGACATCTTACACATTTGCGGCACAGGACCCGGTTTTAAATGAACATTTTTCAGTTTTTAGATGTGCGCCCTGCTTGGGACGTGTAAAGTTAAACTGCACATTTTGATCCATCGTAAAAATATAGATGGCACGACTGCGGTGTCTTATGCCACCGGTGTGTTGGTGGGTAAGGAAATTATCCGGCTACAGTTGGGTGCATGTCCGTGTCTAAAAAGATCCAAACGACAATACACTGTCTGTGCATGATAATGCTATGTATTTTTTCAATAATACATGAGTTAATTATCGATACGTGGTGAGTACGTACGTGGTAAGTACGTGGTTTATGTATATATAGATATAGATATAGATATAGATATAGATATAGATATAGGTATATATATATATATATATATATATATATATATATATATATATATATATATATATATGGTTTATAGATAGATAGGTACGTGGTTTAGTCCCAGTGACAAATCATCGGCTTTAAAAATATTGCGTATTGTCCGTGTTCGGTGATGATAGGATGGGTGTTGAGTGATATAGACTGGGTTGGGCAATGCTTTGTTCAGACCGTCGTGATAAGCTGCGCTGTAAAAAGATTGCCCGATATCACATCTAACGGCAACCAAAGAAAGTAAGCACGGGCGGTGAAAACGAAGAAGGGGACACATGTGAAGCTGTTCCCATTATCTGCCCCGCACCACCCTGTCCTTCACTCGGAAAAACCGCAGCAGCAAGTGTTGAATGAGTGCACTAAGAGTGATCAGCTGCGTCCTAGGTCCATAAAATGTCATGTCACGGAAAGAACCAAGGGACAAATCATGCCTCCAAGATTTCCCCAGGGCGTTCGTCGTCAACGCAAGCATCTTAACCCAAAGCCGACAGACCCCACGGTTCTATGATAGATTCCACTTACAATCGGATGTCACTAGCGGGATGTCACGTTCGCCATGTGCGAAGCTATACATTTTGCACTGACCTGCCTGCGGGACTCGCAGCATTTTTACGCGGTCTGTCTTATCTGACTTACGGCCGCAACTGTTCCTGAAATTGAACCGATCAGAATAAAATCCAGCAGAACTGTCGCAGGCATGAAAGGCACCTGCTGGTAATATCCGTGCCCAAATGTTGGCCCACAACTATACTGATCACATTCCAGCTAAGAGACGTATACACGTAAAAATAAGATATAGAGCATGCAATGTCATTTTGCTGACTGACCGGTCCCGTCTGCAACGGCAAGAACGTTGGAACGTACATACCCATGCCAGCATATAGGCTATATAGACATATATACACACACACATATATATATATATATATATATATATATATATATATATATATATGTACACAAACACAGGGGGTACACACACGTCTGTACGTCGTCTAAATGTCTGACAGGTCCTATCTGGCTTGTCTAACGTTTCAAAACAGGCCTCTAGCTTATTTTTTGTTTTCTTCTTTCCCCTTAAGAACGGCCGCCTCACCTTATAATATTTGATCTCACATATAATGCGTGCATCTACCACCCCCTCCCTGGACTATTTCGAAGATCCGATCGGGCGTGAACTGTCGGAAAAACAAAGTTTTCACTGGAGGGGGAGGGCTTTCGTAGTTTACTGAGCAAGGGGGATTTCAGGTCATTGGTTGGGCTACTCCCTACCTAGTTGAAATAGTTCCTCGACGTCACGATCTAGACCGAACATTCTTTCGTGTATATCACATCGTGAGTGCGTCAACGCAGAACATCTCTGCTTAAATCCTCTTGCGAGTTGAATTACACATAATGGTGCTTCTGTGTGTAACAGGTTATGATTGCATCTTACCAGAACAGCTTGTTCGTTTAAATCCACTCCCGGTTGGATGTACACAGAAAGAGCCTCTGTGTAAATCCACGCAGGTCCAATTCAACTTGCTCGCATGTTCAATTTGCCTGTGTACATGTACTCCAAAGGGTATCTACACTAGTGTCTATGTATAAAATTGCTCGGATTTGAATCGATTTACACAAAAGCGGCATTTTGTGTACACCCATAACGTGTTGGACTTAAGCAGAGGAGCTGTTCAGAATAG